AGGAGGAGGAGGAGGAGGAGGAAAAAATGTAAACCTACCAACAAGTTAGGTAACCTGGATGAAATGGACAAACACCTAGAAACACACAAACTCTCAAAACTGAATCAATAAGAAATAGAAAATCTGAAGGAAATTATTCAATAGATTTAATCAGTAATCAAATACTTTCTCACTAAGAAAATCCCAGGCTAGATGGCTTTCCTAGTGAATTCTACTAAGTGCCCAAAAAGTAATTAATACTAATCCTTCACAAGCTCTTGCAAAAACAAACAAACAAACAAACAAAGAACCAGAGATGCCTGGATTTCCTAACTTATTCCAAGATACCAAAACTAGACAAAGCTATTAGAAAACCAAAGTTATCAAGAGAAAGAAATCTAGAGACCAAAACCCTTTAGGAATAGAGTCACAAAACCCCTCAACAGAATATTAGCAAGGTATGTCTAGCAACATACAAAATGGATTACATACCATGACCAAATGTAATCCAGGTGTAAGGTTGGCTTAACATATAAAAATCAAAAGGACTGTGTGTGGTGCTACATGTCTGTAATACCCGTGACTGGGGAGGATGAGGCAAGATTTCAAGTTCAAGCCCAGTCTTGGCAATTTTGTCTCAAAATAAAAATAAAAGGGGCTGGGGATGGGTTCAGTGGTAGAGAGTCCCTGGGCTCAATCTCCAGGACAATGCCCCTGCCCCCCAACAAAAAAATAAAGAGAGATTGTTAATGTCGATGGGTCTTCTTTTTCAATGATGAAAATGTTCTGCAATTAGATAGTGGTGATGGTTGCACCAGTTACTAAGTATACTAAATTACACACCTAAAAAGAGTAAATTTTATGGTACATTAATTATATCTCAAAGAAGGTGTTATTAAAAAAAATCTTGGCCAGGTGTGATGGCACACTCCTGGTAACCCCAGTGGCTTGGGAGGCTGAGGCAGGAGGATCTCGAGTTCAAAGCCAGTCTCAGCAAGGATGAGGTCCTAAGCAACTCAGAGAGATCCTGTCTCTAATTAAAAAATATAAATTGGGCTAGGGATATGGCTCAGTGGTTGAGTGCCCTTGAGTTCAATCCCTGGTATTCCCACAAAAAAATGTCCTGAGATGCTCAGTGACACACACCTATAATCCTATTGACTCAGGAGGCTGAGACAGGAAGACTGAAAATTGAAGGTTAATTTAGCAAGGCCCTAAGCAACTTAGCAAGACTATGTCTCAAAATAAAAAATAAAAAAGGGCTGGGGATGTGGCTCAGTGGTTAAGTGCTCCCAAGTTAAATGTTAGATATCCAGTACTAAAAAATTTTAAAAAGGCAAAGTTCATATGATTATTAAAGATGATTAAATAATTGTTATATAGTCATTTTTTTGAGAGAGAGAGAGAGGGAATTTTTTAATATTTGTTTTTTAGTTCTCAGCGGACACAACATCTTTGTTTGCATGTGGTGCTGAGGATCGAACGCGGGCCACACGCATGCCAGGTGAGAATGCTACCGCTTGAGCCACATCCCCAGCCCTATATAGTCATATATATTATTAATTTGCAATAAACAATACAATGAAGCATGTTAAAATCTTAATAAAGGCAAATAGATACCATAGTGGTTTTCTTGATCATCTGAAGTTGGTTATATTATACGTTGCCAGATTTAGCAAATAAAAATATAGGATACCCAACACGATTTGAATTTCCAATAAACAATATTTAAGTATACCCCAAATATTGCATGAGACATACTTGTACAAGAATGTAATTATTTATCTGAAATGCATACTGACATATTTTATCTGGCAATCTTAATTATAGAAATATATTTTATTAATTCTCTTTACAAAAAGCTGCTCAGAATATCAAAAGAATATAAACAGAATGGGTAGTCCTATGTTTGTGTCTTGGTTGGTCACTGAATAGTAGGAAGTTTCCAACAAACTCCTAAAATTGGGTTGTCATGTGACCAGATCCTAGGCTATTTTTAAGCTGAGGTAAATGGGATCTTTTTTTTTACAAGGATTAGGAAAAAAAGTCATGTTTATTTAGGAGGGAGGAGAGGGTGTGATATATATTGCCTCAGGGAAGACCACTTCAAATACACCATTATTATACTTATCTCTCCCACCCCACGGAAATATATGATTGCTTATTAGATGGAAGAAGCCAGAGGGCTCTGTGTTTGAATGTGTGAGCTGAGTATGTCAAGGTGAGATGGGAAACTGATCTTGCAATGAAGAGGTTCATTGGAATGAAGCACAGATACTTCAAGCACAGCACATCCAAAACTCCAATCATTATCTTAGCCTCGAAACTCCTCCGTACTTTCTAAGTTCATTCATGTATTCAGTAAATATTGAGGTGGCCATTAATTGCCAGTATGTGCTGGCTCTTTATATTTTTTCTCAGAACTGGGGATGGAAGCCAAGGGTGCTCAGTAGCACCTTTTTATTTTTTATTTTGAGACAGGATCATGCTAAGTTGCCTAGACTGGCCTAGAACTTGGCAATCTTCCTGCCTCAGCCTCCCAAGTTGCTGAGATTGTGTCCAGCTATGTGCTGGGTCTCAAATATGCCCTTGAGCAGAACAGACAAGGTCCCTGCTCTCAAAGAGCTTACAGCAGAGCAGGGGAGACAACCATATAATCCCCCAAAAGACTAATCACACATTATTACTATGAAGGAAAGATGTTTGAGGCTATAAATCTTTGGTCAAGCTGGTATACTAATACTGGTCTCTACCTGACAACTATAATGATTAGACACTATTATTACAATATCCTAAGAATAAACCTTTTTAAAGAAAGCACTATGAATTTTACTATTTAGGGGTACAATAGCCCATTTAAACTCTAATTTCTGGAATTTGGTGAATTTATATTAAGTTTAGCAGTGTTTGTTACAATAGGGACTTTCAAATTCAACATTTATGTATTTGTTATTAGTATGGGTAATCTTATTTATCATTGTGCAAAAAAGTAGAAGCAGGTAATTTTGCTTGACAGGAAAACTTCTTCCATGTTCAGCCCATCTTTTTCTTTTTCCTTAAGTTTTTCTTCAGTCTATTTTTCCATGGTGATTATACTCAACTGCTCCTGTGCCATCTCTAGTCCAGAGGTCCTGAGAAGTTGAAGGGCAAAACTGACTTCAGTAGCTTACCGCTATTTAATGATGGGAGGATCACTTCTAGAAAAAGTACTATAATGAAAAAGGGAGTTCCACAGCACTTACCCAGCTTCCTCACTGGGGTCAACCCCTTGACTCCCATCCTGTTGAAGGACAGGCACTTTTGCCTGGTCTGCAGCTGCTGGTTAACAGCTGTACAACCTCAGAGCTCAACATTTTTATGATGAGCTCACCGCTCCCAATTAAAGAACGAATATCGCTGTGTTCCAACACGGCTTCTTGTCTTACAAATGTATCTGGAACTAATGGACAGAAGTACTTTCTACTTCACAGGACTTTCTCAACCTGATTTTGGCAATTTTCTTCTCACTTCTTATTACCCCCGCCCCCGCCCCAATGCTGGGGATTGAATCCCGGGGTTCCGCGCTTGCAGGGCAAGGGCTCAACTCCCGAGCTGCATCCCCAGACCCGTCTCACCAATCCCTTTCTCCCTCTTTTCCTCATACACCACTCGATTTCCTATCAGACCCAACAGTTTAGCCTTTTTTACTGGAGGGAGAATGAGAGAGCCGAACTTGAGGGATGAGGTGGTGTTAAAAATGTCTTGGGGTCGGGGGAGAGGGGGCAGGTGCACTAACAGGATCCCCGGACAACCTTCCTCCAAATGGTCAGTCTCAACTCTCCGTCCTCTTCCCTTGGACCCGGCTACCGCAATCCCAGGAGGAGGCGAATCGAGCGAGGAGGACCCGATC